TTCCTCAATGGATACGGTGTCTGTTTAGGTGGTAGTTGATAAAGACGTTCTGCGTTCTCCAGAAGCCTGCCTTCTGTGTATGCTCGAGGGGGGCACCTGACGCTAGCACTAGTGATTTGGCAATCGCACAGACCTCATGCACTCGTGTCTCTGCAAGCTCTGTGTTGAGGAAGTTAAAGTATTATAGACCTCTAATACAGTCGCAGTAAACCATCTGGTTATGGAAGTTGGGGAGGCCGGCCTATGCTGCCTGCCTGGGCCGTAACACAAAGACATGTGCCTGGCACCCCGTCCTGAACCCTAAGTACGGTTTGGAAGCAACTCTGTGCTTGAACCGGGCAGAGAAGCAATTCCTCCTGACCCTCCGGGCAGCCAAAAATTTGACAGCCAGGGGATGACTATCGGGTGAGGTTCTTGTCCTGGGATTTGGTTCTAGGCGAGAAACCCGATTTGTGTCTTTCGCACAACTTGATTGTCCATAACGGCTGTACATCATCCGAGAAGGACAATGCCCCCAGCTCTGGTTGACGCCTACCTGAGGCGAGGGCCAGTAGGAAGACTATTTTCCACGTCGAAAAATTTGAGTGGTACTGATCAGAGAGGCTCAATGGGTGGTCTGCTTAGAGCAGACAACACAGCCAACAAGTTGGGCGGTTCCCTTGTATGGGTCTTGGCGTCTGGAAAGCAGTAAATAGTCCCCTAATAATAGGACAATCGGCTAGTGTTGTTCCCGTACGTTCTCAATGGTGGGGGACAAGGCCGACCTGTAGCCAACAATCGCTGCATCGGGCAAACCAACTTCGTCAAACAGGTGGATGAAGGAGCCTGCTACCTGGCCAATAGAGGGATGGTATGGATCAATCTCCCTTCTGCTACACCAATCAGTGTATGCTCGCAGCCTAGAAATGTAGGCTGCATTGGTGGAATCCCTGTTCGCCCTGGCTAGGACGTTGTCAGCCCGCTCAGATAAAGCTTTCGTATGTGCGGGTCTAATGAGAGCCTATATGCGTGTAAGTAATACCCGCTGGGCTCATTGGTAGTGCGCCGTCTGGTTGGGACGGCAGGTCCGGTAAGTCCAGAAGCACTATTGGTGTTTCGACTAGCATTTCAGACAGAAGTGGAAACTAGGCCTTGTTTGGTCAATTGGGTGCGACCAATAATATTATGCAGGTATGCACCTGTCAAAGTTTTCTCCGGTGCCCGGTGAACTAGCGAGAAGGGAGGAAAGGCGTACACAACTAAGTGGGTCCATAGGGTTAGCAAAGCGACCCAGGCCCAGGTCACTAAGTTGTGACCTGGCCACTCGCCGAACACATGCCTGTACTTCCGGTTGCGGAGGTGAGCATCAAACACGCTTCCCCCGCTGCCAGGGTAGACATCTGCCCAGGAAGGGTGAGGAGCCACCACCTGGTTCTTTCCTCCCTGGGGGCGCGCCACTACTTTTCCCTCCCATGGAAGGGTTTGAGCGCTTGCCTCCTGGCTGACTCTGGCTAGAGGATGACGCCCTAGGGCATTGTGTTTTCTGTGCTTGGGGTGCCCTTCGTTTGCCCTTGGCAGGGCCAACTGGCTAGCGGATTCGATCTGAACCCTCTGGTTCATTGCACTCCGAAGCTCTGAAACTGTACCCACCATTCCCTGAACAAAGAGGGTGGAGGATGTCCAGTCACTGAGGTGGGGACGTACCCCTTGACTCAGCTTGTCGGCGAAAACACATGCGTCTAAGGCCGCGTCTTGTAGCACAGTAGTGGCCCCGGCCAAGAGAGCCAGGTGATACTAGGGGATGTCGCACATAGATGTGTGATGACCCGCCAGTAAATGTGTCGCCTGGTTTAGGAGGCTGGTGCGTTCTGCCTCTGAGGTCTCCAGAGTCCTCAGGGCTGGATGGGTCGTCTCTGATTGAGCTGGCGAGAACGCCCATAGAACGCAGCTGTCCCCCTTTGCCCGGTTTGCCAAACGGAAATTCGTGGTACTGGGGTCTGGGGAAGGAGCCTTGGGATCTGGTTGGGGGCGTTTTGGTCTCGCCCCACGCTATGGGGTCTGATCCCGAAACCACACCGACCGGGTAGCATTTGGTCCAGCGGGAAGTGTTGCCTAAGGTCTTCCCCACCCGGGGGCCTTAAGCGTTACGTTCTTTCGCAGATGACCAACGTCCACCCATCAACACCGTTTGCATGTCCTGCGCCCCACTCCGCACTCAGACGGACAGGGAGAGACATGCCAACAGGGTTGCTTTGGATCCCGATGCCCGTGATCCCATAAGCATTGAAGCAACCTTAGGTGGTCACCTTAGGATCAAGTGTGGGGGTATTTACATCGTATCACTGGGATCGATGATACTCCGCATCATCCCAAAAGCGTGGCTCACCGAGTCATTACAGATGGAAGACTCTGAGGGACCGCCCGGAGTACCGGCTGTATCCGAAGTGAGCAAACTGTGTCTCCTTTCACTGTAAATATGTGAGAGGGAGCGTGTTCGACTGTGTGTCTCATGACAGGGTCGGTTCCCGCTGGGGACGTCTGTGGGTCAGTAAGAAGGGAGTCCAAAATCCACAGCGGAGACCAGACACAAGGATAAATTCGTTACAGTTGTACCGTTACCGCGCGACGAACCCTGGCTGGCTGAAAGCCCTGCTCCGAGATCGGAGTCTTGGCTGCCAGCACCCTGTTGGCATTCAGTGCCCGAGACTCCAGAGGAGGCCCAATGCAATTAGCCTGAGCCTCGGCCTCCCTCAAATTAGGGGAAGAGCCACGGCTGGGAACGGGGGTTCCCCGGAAGAAACGTGTTTGAATGCAATCATGCTTTCCTGTTTCTTCCTGCTTGCCCACCGAGGGGCCGCAGTGGAGAAGCACTGGTAGCCGAGTGTGAGGACTTTTCACTCATGCAAAACATGCAACTCACTTTAACCGATTTGTTTGCTGGGATCGCATTGGAAACTGATCAGATATTTGGAAACGAAAAAGTTAAATTCTTTAATTACAAATAGCTAAAAAGTGGCATTTACATCAATCTCCATAAATATATGAGCCCACGACAAATATTGGACAGACTGTGATAATGCATATCCAAGTTTGAGTTTATCATGACCACAAGAAATTTTTAGCGATGCCAACATGCATGGTTATTTGCACTATAAGCTTGGCTTCAGTATTATGTTATATTTCTCATGTGTATCTCCCTTTGCTTTTATATACACACTATGAACAATCAGTATGACATGCATGTATTACTAGTCCAGAAATCATGACTAAATCTGTATTCTCCTTATATTTTAGATGTACCTACCTGTATTGTGTTCTACAACATACAAGTTCATGAATCAGTTTGCTGTAAGCCACACTCGTAATATATGTTCAGTACATGGCAGGTTTCCTTACTTTAAATGTGTATTTGAATACTGTAGAATAATTTATTTTCGCTATTTTCGCTGAAGGGATGATTCCGTGAAAATAAAATCCAGTGAATATACTTTTTTTTCTATATTTCACATTAAACTCATTGAAAATCAGTGAAAATAAATTCCAAGCAAAACGCCGAAAAAGCCTTTTCAGCGAAAATTAATTCCAGCGAAAATAAAGTATTCCACAGTAGTTGGTTGGCAGTCGGCCCTAGTTTTGTGTAACCCCTACACAAATGCATACTGATGTTTGCATTGCCATTCATATGGAGGCAATTAATTCTGTCTCTATGACATGACAGCTTCACATGATTAAGTTCATTTACATCCAATGTTAGTGTAAAGTAATCTACCGGTATCAGGCCCCTGTGTGCAATTTACATGACTTTAAACAAAACTTTATATCTTATAACTTTAAAATATTTATATCTATAAACCAAATGTCTCACATTGAAGTTACATTACACACACCAAGATTACAAAGTAGCATACACTCAACACATTCATACATCATTTTTATCAGATAAAGTGAAAATGTAATATTTTATTAACAAATTTATCTTAGCAAACAACTCTATGCAAGTTCTTAAGATGCGTGTACAAAACAATTTTACTATAATTTCCAGATTTTGTAATCCTTATATTTATGTGAAATATATTGTAGGTATAATTGTTCATGAATACAAAAAAAAATAACATTGACACGGACGACGACGGACAATCACTCATATGATAAGCTCCGCTCGACAAAGTCAACAGCGGAGCTAAAAAATAACAGTAATGTACAGTTATATTCATGTGTGATCAAATAAAGAATTGGGAAATCATTTGCATATTATTCATTACAGGTTTAAAAAGATTGTAATCTTCTGACAATTTTTTTAAAATTTGGTATTCATTTTTTGTCTATCAGACATTCTACAGGGGATACAAAGAACAAATTTGATTTTCAGTTGTACACATCTTAACCCTTTGAGCGTCAATTTTTTTTCGCTTGAATTGGGATAGATTTCTCCACATTGTCTGTAATTTTCATTGAATTCAATCTTAATTTTAGACCAAACAAAATTAACGTTACTTCTAGTTTTTGATTAAAAAATAAAAAGTTTTACAACATTTTATCTGGGGGGAAAAAAAGCAGACTATAAATAGAAATATTTTGTGTGTGGTTCTTGAAGTTAACTTTAGAGTTAGCAAAGAAATGGATTCTGTGGTGCACATAAATTTGCTGAATGTGAATTAAGAACATGAGACATTCAGCTACGGGACTTTAATTGCTGCAAAAATGTGGGACATATTTATAGCTAAAAATAATAATTTTGACGACAGCTCATAGCTTAAATCATTTCTATGTTTTTACCTGAATAATTGTGGAGCAAAATTTGGTGTTGCAAGTGAGCAAAATTTTTGTTTGAAAATCAGATACAGAATATTTGTCATAAACTGTTTCAACTGTTGTTATGGTAACCAGTAAACCTCATGATTCGCTTTATAGCATTGCAAATATCAGCAATTATCACAGGATGTTTCTTTCCTCTGATGAGTTAATTGGGTAGCTTGTACAAACTTCTGTTTTCTGAGGAGTTCATTGAGTCGTTTGTACACACTGTACAGGAATATGTGTCACTTGTTGTTATGATGATTGTACTGCTAAGATAAGAGTGAGTACCTGCAATTAAACACAATATAC